CCAGGCCTGAGCCCCGGAGTCGTTCTCGGCGCAGGTGGGACGGGGCGGGCTCCCCCTGGAACTGACGCCCGTGACCTCTGCCCTCTCGGAGGACCTCGGAGGCAGGCAGGGTCGCTCACCGCTTTGCTTTCTACACGACCACACGCACCGTTCAGTATTGTTTCCCACCCCCCAGCCCCGGTTTCTGGCTTCTTCAAGCTGACTGTTCTCACGGGGGCCACTTGCTTCTCCGGGGGACGGAGCAGGGCCCCCCCACTTCCTAACTGCAGGGTCTCCACACTTTGCTGCTACTGTTTGTACCGTCTCCGGTAGAACCTCTTCATCTTGCTCCTGGGAGTGCATTACAGGCGAGCATGACATGTAAAGTATTTATTTAAATAAAAAGAGAACCTCTCAATTGGTCATTGGATTACCTCCCTGTAGCTGTAGCGTTTGTGACATTTCTCGACCTTGCTAGTTCTCTCATTAGATCCGCGCGAGAGCTGGTCACCCGGGCAAGGGTGTTCAACAGGCGCGACTCCGGACCCAAGGAACTGGTGTCACTATGACTGTCGGTCGCCCCCAAACTGTCTCTCCCCTCCAGTCCCTGGCCCACACGGATGTGAACTAACGACGAGGAACTGTTTTTGTACACTGTCCGTCCTTAGTATTTTTACACGTATCGGCGAGGGGCGCCCGTCCCTCCCCCCGTACAGACAGCTGAAATAAAGCGCTGTGTCAACTGCTACTTCTCCGTTTATTGTTGTTGGCTGTGGTTCTGTGATCTCAGAAAACTAAAGACTGGCCTTTTCGGGGCGGGGGTGGGGGGGGAGGTCTTTAAAAGCTCCACCTGGTCTTAAGCTGCCTGGTGTAAAATGTGGCAGGAAAACAGGTACATTTCTTGTAGCTCCAGACACGTGGGTTTCCTTCATTCGTCTAATAAACTGGCAGGAAGCAGCTGTGCTGACGTGGACGAGGGCTGTGTCCCCAGGGGAGGCGAGCTCGCAGCACGGGGTCCGGGCCCCCCGTCTTCCCAGCGGGTGGTCTGGACCCAGATGCTAAGGCGCGTGGCTCCTCAGTGATGTCTTCCTGGCCACGTGTGGCTCTGCCTCCCTCCTTCCCGATGAACCTGTTTTTAGAACCGAGGGCGCATGGAACGTGGACGGGGGATCGAGGGGCCGGTGGTGGTCGATGGGGCCTTTTTCTGACTTTACCTCATAACCCTCCTCTTGGAGGGCCCGGCGCTCCCCGGGACTCGGCCAGGTAGAGGAACGGCTCTGGGACCAAAGTTAGGCAAGCACGGACGTGGCCGCCACACGCCCAATGCAGGGCATCCACGTGGATGCTCCTCTCCCCACACCACGGGGGCCGACGGCCCAGGAGGCGGGGTAACGTGACCTCTGTGATTCCTTAAGGTGCTATTTTCAGACTATTGTGTAACTCACTTACCGCGCTCCTAAACCTGAACTGGGGACAATGAGCCTAAATCACGCACCGGCCTTGATCTGGAGCGCGTTGGGTGACACCGCAACCTTCCGGCCCTGAGCAGAAGTTCCGCTCTTTGGGGCTTGAACCCTTTCCTGGCGGAGAGGCTCCGGGGTCTTCGTGTGGGCCGCCCCCACCACCTCAGAGAGGCCGGGTCGGTGACGATGCGGCAGGTCACTGGCCCGGAGGTCAGCCCAAGGTCGGGGACTTGCCCCGGCAGCAGCTGCCTGCCGGGTCCCCTTGCCATCCTCCAGAACAACACAGCATGCAGTGCCCGCTTTACTAGACAACACTGGGGGGCTTCCCTGTGTGCAGTGGAGATGCTAGTGGAGACTTAACTGATGGATGATCTGTGTACAGAGACTGACGGGGACGCTGAGGAAGGTGGGGTGTCCCCAGGCCCCTCACAAACGATGCATCTTGGAGAAGGACCCTGAGCCCACCCGGCCCGGGAGGCCTGTCTGTCTGGTCCATTGCTAACAGCGTGGAGGGGAGGGTGCTGAGGGCGGGCACAGGCTAGCAGGATGGTCAGCGGGGTCCCGTGGATGTAGGCTGGAGGCAGAGCGAAGGGCGCTCTGTGCATCGCGAAGAGGGAGGCAGCATGGGTGGCAGGGAGAGCGTGGGACCCTCTGCACCCTCTGGCCTGGTTAAAATATGTGCCTTTTTTGGCGTGTCTTGTTCATCACTCCACAGTAGAAAGTCAGCGTCACAACCCAGGTCTTTCCGAAGTCCGTTTATTGAAGTTCATGTGTGTAACATACATAGCAGACAAACGAGCAGGTTTCAAAGTACAGTAACTCGAAGCCATTTCCCAAAACCCATGCCAGGAGGGCGCGTCCGGCAGCGGCAGCTCCGGCCCGTCCATCAGCCGGGGCCACGCGGAGACACGCGTGACTGTGACGACGCAGCCTGCGGCCGGAGCCGGGCCGCCGGGAGGTCACGGTGCGTTGTGGCACGTCACGTGCAAATCCGATGAATGTAAATATTCTTTGTAAATCATTTATTTCACTGTTTCATCCAGGTCAGCAATCGGATTGTGGCATGCTGGGTGACTGGAAAAACAAAATGAAAATAAAGAGTAAGTTTAAATAGATCCTGTTCTTCAATGTGATTTGTCTTCTCACTGGCTGACTGTCCTGAGAATTTGGAGAAAATGATTTCTTTGCTAACGAGGTAGAAAGTGTACTAATGTAGCCAACTGGAGGAAGAGTTTACAACTCACCTTCATAACTCGCAGGTCAGAGCCCTTGTCGAATAAGAATATCAGGCGAACTCTTTTTTAAAATGTTTATTTACTGATTTGAGAGAGAGGGAAACATCGATGTGTTGCTGCACTTGTTTGAGCATCGCTGGTTGATTTTGTATGTGCCCTGACCGGGGATCGAACCTCAACCTTGGTGTATGGGGTCGACTCTCTAACCAACTGAGCTACCCAGTGAGGGCCCATTTTTTCCTTTCTTTTTAATTTATTTTCATTGACTTCAGAGAGGAAGGGAGAAGGAGAGAGAGATGGAAACATCGATGATGAGAGAATCATGGATTGGCTGCCTCCTGCATGCCCCACCCTGGGGATCAAGCCCGCAACCTGGGCATGTGCCCGGACCGGGAATCGAACCGTGACCTCCTGGTCCATTGTCGGTGCTCAACCACTGAGCCACGCTGGCCGGGCAGGGCCCATTTTTTACTGCTTTAAATCGGTAGCGCAGACATCTGCGTCTCAGAGAAGAGCTGTCGGATGGTCAGACGGAAGAGATGCTGATTCGTGCCAGGATCTGGTCCCTGAAGACTACAGGCCAAGTGTCCCTGAGGAACTTCTGGGGGAACCTCCAGTTTTCAGCTACAGACACCTTACGGCAGTGGTTCTCAACCTTGGCTGCACATTAGAATCACCTGGGAATCTTTTTATAATCCTGATTTCTGGGCCTCATCCTCCGGCAATTATGTTTCTTTGTTACTCATGTTGTGGCCTCACCCCATCACAAAGAAACAGAATTTCCCGAGGAATGAGGCCCAGACGTCAGGATTTTAAAAAGATTGCCAGGTGATTCTAATGTGCAGCCAAGGTTGAGAGCCACTGCCTGACGGTAACGTACAGAAAGGCCTTCCCCCTGGAACCACCTCCCGCGTGTGGAAGAGGGAACCTGGTGCCTGGGGCCTCTCAGTTGTAAGCAGGTGTCAAAGCTTAACCTGGCTCAGGGAGGTGGGGTTGTGGAGTCACAGGTTAGAGACTGAATCCGCTGCCCGCCTCACGTCCGTGCAAACTACGTGGGGAAGCAAACAGCCACAGCCACAGTCCACACAACCACAGTCCACACAACACGCCGCCGGTCCCCGCTCTGCTGGGGGGAGGCCTTGCCCTCTGGAGCGTAAGGTCCCTGGGATGAGGGCACTGGATGGGGAGCCCAGAAGACACCCCTCCATCCCAGCTTTCACTCCTGCAGATGAAGCAGGAAGGGGATGTGGGGCCTGGGCCGGCCTGGTCTCTGTTTCTCAGGGAATCATCCAGAGACACGTGGCCGCTGCCCTTCCCCGCAGGTGTCCTGGGCCTGAGCCGGCTCTGGGCTCTCCTTGGGGCTTTCCCAGCCAGCGCCCTGCCTTCAGGCGAGGTCAGAATCCCTGCCGGAGAAATCTACGGAAGCCAGTTCCCTGATGGTTTTCTTTTCCTTGTTTTTCTTGTTCCCCTTTGGTCCAATGTGTGGGAGAGGCTTCAGGTGGATTAAGGATGGCTGTAGTTTCGGGGGGAGGCTTAGGCAAAAGCCAGAGACGGGGGATGCGAGGGCCCTCAAAGGCCTCTGGGCCCCCCAGGCTGCTAGTGCTGGAGGGCGAGCCTGGTGAGTTCAGCTGTGGCCCATCTTCCTGATGAGCTGCCCCTCCTCCCGGAGGGAGGTGGTTCCGCAGGAAGTCACGGGCAGGAGCGTCTGCGGGCAGAGCCCAGGCTGCAGCTCTAAAGGGCCTGGGTCGGGCCCCCTCCAGGGCCAGGGGCTCCCATGGCGGCCGGGGCGTCGCC